AGAGAGTATATTCATTCATTTGGGTGGCTGATATGTTTTACCACTTTCTAGGAATACATACCCCCTTGTCACACTTTACACCACCTGAAAGATGTCAAAAAATGTTATGGGTCTATATTTTCACCATACAATTGTTATATCTGGCTTGAAATAACAGGATCTGTGGCTAAAACAACTAAATAGCACCTTAAAAAAATGACGAAAATACCAGCACATTTAGACTCGTAACAAGAGATCACTACCTACTCAACATAAACTGTGACAATTCATCCTACAGATGCTATGAAAAATATGCTTGTTTCCATCTGTCTCTTTGAAAAGCAGGCTGAATGTTTTTGGCCGTCCAGACATAAAAACTTTATCCGATAATGACTTATGGATTGGTTATTTTTGGCCCCCCATGTCAAAACGCTCACAGTGCTCACACTGGATACTTAGCATGCGGCACCATTTTAAGCGACCTCTTTCACACGCCTGAAATATTTCAGATGTTAAACTATATAATACAAATACATACTGGATATCATCAAGTGTTAATAAGATGTAATTCATTCCCAACAACCCTATAACTCAGATCTAAAAAAAAACAAAAAACAGGTTCACGGGGCCAAAGTCCAAAGCAAGTTCAACACTGAGACACTTTCATCTGCCTGAGTGCTGTATATTTAGTAACAATATTTGGGGCAGCAGAGATTCCCAGGGGATAATAGGTAATAAGGTTCAGAGTTAAAACACACACACGCGGCAAAGGAATTAAAAAACAGTTTCTCGATGGAGCAACACAAAAGTCTCCCGGTTCCTTCGTAAGGCTGACCCCAGGAACTATGACTTGACTTCACCCCCCACTGTCAGTTTCCTGTCCAACAGAGGGAGCCAAAGAACTCCCAGCATCTTTGAATGCCAGCCAGAGACACAACTACAGCTTCCTGTGTTCCAAGACAGATCATTTTGAGTATCACAAAATGAAATGTTCAGCTCTTGTCATCATTGGCCTCAGATTCGTAATGCTACAAAAACATCATTTCCTTCAAACTCTTTCTGCTCCCCATTGGCAAAATCAGAGAGTAGAACAGAATGTATGCTGTGCTCATTGAAACCGAATGCATAGGCCCTCTCGCAGCCCACTAGAAGTGCCAATCGCTGATCAACACTCTCCCAGGCCAGATATTATTACGGAGCGACTATCAACCAGAAACCGAACAGACTAAGCAAAAGATACAGTGATGCAAGAAGTGGTGTTGTAAGTCAGCAGGGGGAGCTCTTTCCTTCAGTTCCATCAATATAATGTGAAGGGACACTGCTGCTGGCAACACAAAATTTAGGACCCTGGTCATTTTTGATCATTAAAGATCACATGGCACTTTTGCCAGAGTAAACCCAATGGACTGGTCAAATTCCAACTTCCCTGGCAGTTTCAATTGGAAGTGGCATTCTTTGCATCATTTCCTAAGCTGCTATGTAATGCCGTTGTGCGTTTAAAAACAAACAGCAGGCCCCAACCCAGAGACAGGTGCACTTCAGCAGTGGACAAAACAATCCCTGTTTTACAGTTTGCACCTTAGTTTAATAAGCCCGCAGAAATCTTTGGGATCCTTTTGTATGAAAGGTGTTATAGAAACGGAAGCTAGCAGAAGAGTGTACTCAAGATTTCTAAATATTTGCTACTTAGTGAGTCAGGCTGTCACATCTCCTCTGTCCAATAGTCTGTTTCGCTTAGCATTTTATTAGCTTCTGCCTAGAAGAAAAACAAATTCCTTCTTAAGCTTTTTCCCCAAGTAACCAAAAGATACTCAACAGATCCTGTGCAGCCTAAAAAGGGTCACTGGAAAAAAAACCCTGTAATCCAAAGTGATGCAATTCAGTTCAGAAGCCTTTAAGACCAAAGGGGTGATGGATGAACAGGAAGGCAGCAGGAGATCAAGCACTACTGAAGCATATGAGGCAGTGATCAGAGAGAAAATTTTCAAAGAGGGCAAAAGAGACAGCAGTGCTTACTGAAGACCAGATGCAGGGAGTGACCGTAACAATAGCCAAGAGATTTTAACTAGGGCTGAAGATCAAATCAGAGAGGTAAAGGTGAAGAAGCCAGAGGCAACAGGGTTGCATGGGTCTGTCACAGCTCCAGTCAAGAGCACCCCCGCCTTGGGCACTCTTCACATCGCTGGGAGGGGATCCAGCCACAGAATCCCTGGGGGATTTAAGCCTCTGGAGTCTAAATGAAGCCCAAGTGCTGCCCCTAGATATAGTCTCAAAGCACAAACGCTCTGTCTAGTATGCTCCTTGTGAGAGCTGCAACCTCACTACACACAGCCCAGTCCATGGAACCAGTGTGGACTCCTCAGGTTCACCACACAGCTCAACCATACCCTCCCCCAGAATCCCAGCCCTGTGGATATTCTGGGCCCACAGTTCACCTGTTCAAGGGCATGTGAATAGTGTAACACAGCACAGACTTTGCAGAGGGTTCTAACACCATTGCACAGCTCTATACTAAAAATACACAGCTCTATACTAAAAAAATAAACCCCATATGCATTTCCCTGCCTTCAGTTCCTTACCACTCCAGAGCATTCTTTGGGATGGGGAGAGGGTCCACAGGAGCCATCCAGGTTCTTTCTGTTGTGGTGACAGCTTGTGTTCTGAAACATGGAGCCTTCTCCCCCCAGCACACTCTCTCTGCCCTTGCTGGTCCATCCCCATCTTCTCTCCTGCCCCATGTTTCCAGTGTGGCTTACCCTGTCTCTCCCCCCGCCCACCTCAAGAGACCCTTTTAAAACTCCAGCTTTGTCACCTTTGTCTCTGTCTAGTTTGGGAATTTTCCACTCTCTCCTCCCCCAAAACAAGTTGGAGGAAGTACAAGTCATGGACAGGTAACGGGCCAGGCAGCAAACAAAAATTCACGGCCCGTGACCTGTCCATGACTTTTACTAAAAATACCCATGAATAAAACGTAGCCTTAATCATTATCCCTGGCCTGGCAGGGATGTGACACAGCCTTGTCAGCAAGGGTGGAATCTACATACATACAGGGGCATCCCATGATACAGCAATTTCATAATAACTTCATCATATCAATCAAAACTCCTAAGTTGTACAGGCAGATTCCCCAAGTCATCACAGGGTCATCAACTACAAGTTGAAGGAACCAAGGCTGACACACACATCTAAATCATAGAAGAAAGAGGAATGTGATGGATAACTACCTGGAGGGGAAGAGGATGGGGAAAAAGAGAGACGGATTATGTGTAGTTTGAAAAGACTGAAGGTGGAAGAAGGAATAATTGGAAGTGACAGGAGGGATGGCATGTGAGAGAGAGGAGGAGACCCCACCATGAGAAACGCTGTACTAGATAGGATGAGCCAGGTTTCAGTGAGTGCAAGGCGATGGAGGGACATGAGACACAGATCAGAATCTGCAGCGTGTGTGTTTGAGGTGGCCCAGCCACTCCATTGGGAGTAGCAGAAATGAAAGGGGAGGTGTTGAGGATGAGACTAGTCCATTTCTGGGAGTAGAGAGGGTGCAGGTGAAGGCTAGGGCAGAGTAATAAGGATCCTCGTCAGAGATGGAGAGAGAGCAAAGGAGGAAGCAATGTGGGATGTGGATATGTGAGGATGAAGAGATGGATTCATCGGACTCTTACTCTGCCTACCCATCCCACGGGTGTATTTGTGCACCTCTCCCATGTCACCTCTGCCCACAAGACACCAACGCATACTGCTATGAGCTTTCAATATGTATTAACTAGCCTCACCCCTGCCCCCAATGTCACCACGATGACAACACTGGAAACTAAAACAATCAGACAGAACATCTGCAAGCCCTTATGTTCCAACAATTAGTAAGCCTCCTTAGCTAGACATGGAGCGTATCTGAAGAACAGCACATTCCCTTCATTAGTTGGACCCCCAAAAAAATGACTGAAAACTATTACTTCTTTCCACGCACATGGCAAAGAATGACCTTTCAAGAAACTGGGTTGGCTTTCATGGCCAGAAAAAAAAAAAAAAAAAAAAAAAGTCTTTCCATAAACAATTAGTCTTCTAGTAACTGTTAGCATCAGGTAAATTCAGAACAGTTAATAAGACCAATTTAAATACCAGGAGACAAAAAAACACTTTCCAGACATTGTTACTATGTATGCCTGAGTCTCTGACAGGATGAGATGATCAGAGCCATTTTCTTTGCAGATTCAGAGATGCTAACTTGACTTAACTTAAGTACTAGGTAGAATGGAAAAAGTTTGCTCTCCATTATTCCCAAAGTAATGGAGCTCAGAGTATGTTGCAGGAGGGTTTCTGAACAAGGACAATAACAGCAGACACAACATGAAGGAAACCAATTAATGGAAAAGATTGTAGAAAGAATGGCTTTTAGAAGATAAAGAAAAAAATCATTGAGAAGTTTTAAAGAATAGTGAGAAAAGTCATATTTCCTTGCTGTAAATAGTTTTGGGGTTTTTTTAATACACATTTATGTACAATTAACCAGGGATCGCTTTCAAAGTCAATGCAATGGCAAGGTATTTGTAAAACAATAGTGTAAAAATGTACCTACTATTTGGAAGGAGCTCAGGATGCAGAAACGAAAGCATATTGCATGCTAATGTTTTACACTGACCGTGGGAAATTGACACTGGCTCTTTCAGCTCTGTAATTTTTCACTATGCACAGCACAGCAGCACAAATGCCAGGTTATGCTGCTAAATGGGAGATCTGGATTATACAACACACCTCGGCCTCCTAGACTTTGGGCTACTAGAAGTCATGGGCAAAGTACAGAAAAACATGTCAGCGCTTTGCAGCTGCATCAGAAACAGAAAACAGACTCTCCTAGCAGCTGTAGAATAAAGGATCATTCAGTTTCATATAGCAACACTTAACAGTTAAAGCAGTTTTTGAAACATTGAACTACAATCGTTAGATACCCTAGCATAGAAAAGGACAGTTAAAACTGAACAGGCATGCTAAGCTTATCAGTAGAATGCAACACAAGACCCTACCTGTTTCATTGCCGTCTCTCCAATCTTGTCAGAGTGCTTACGAATACTCTCCAGGAAGTCTTTGAGGTCTGACATGGAAACGTCTTTTATCTCTTCACGCAGTTTAGGGATATTATCCACCATGATCTTGCAGAAGCGGTAGTGGCTCACCTGTGGCAGGTACGTATGCTCAAGGTGCTCTAATGTCTTCAACGCAGGGTAATGTCTGGGAAGAGTGTAAATCAGATTCAGAAGTATACAAGACTATTCTGCTGTTCCACTTGACATCAGAGGATGATGGCAATAAATTAGCACTTCTATATACCCCCGGATCTCAAAACACTACAGAAGTACACGCACCTCAATGCTCATGTACAATATAGGGGAGAATTATTCTCACATTTGCAGATAGATAAACTGAGGTTTAGCAAGGTTAAAGTGTGGACATACTCTGAGAAGTGATTGTGTAAAAATGGCTCTGCTTTACTAAAGAGATATCTGTCTTGTGCATATTGAGAGTTGGATCTGGCTACCTGTCTAATTCTTTCAATATTGCCGAGCACTGTTAAAAGCTTCCCACCCTAGAAGCGGCTGCATTTACGTGGCGGATCAAGTAATTCTTATATATCCCTTCCCTACCTCACAGGGGTGCCGTAAGACATAGTGTTTGAAACACACTTTGAAATCCTTGGCTAAAAGGCACCGTAGGAATGCAAACGGTTATTCGTATCCAGCTTCTTCATTTATTTATTTCACTATGGTGCCCAGAGGCTCCGGTGAGAATCTAGTCTAGGTGCTGCTCAGGATACAATGGCCGTCGTTGGCCCAAAGAATTTTGCTCTGATGCTGTTACTTCTATTCCTTTGTACTTCATATTTGAGCGTCAACTCACATTTACATAGCAAAAAGCAACAGAGGGTCCTGTGGCACCTTTAAGACTAACAGAAGTATTGGGAGCACAAGCTTTCGTGGGTAAGAACCTCACTTCTTCAGATGCTTATGCTCCCAATACTTCTGTTAGTCTTAAAGGTGCCACAGGGGACACTGTTGCTTTTTACAGATTCAGACTAACACGGCTACCCCTCTGATAATTTACATAGCACTCACCTTCCATCCAAAAGGACTAAGCTACGCTAGCTAATTGTGAACATAAAATAGATCTGATGAAGGGAAAACCATCAGAACATTGGCCCATCTAGCCCAGTATCCTGCCTCCAACAGTGACTGACGCCAGATGCTTCAGAGGGAATGAACAGACCACAGCAATTTATCGACTGATCCATCCAGTCATCCAGTCCCAGCACGTAAACCTTAACTATGGAGCTGTTAGCGATCTCTCTGAAAATTTATTTTGATCAGCACAAACATGTCTCTAGGGTGAAATAAGGCAACCGTAACAGGACACAGTTTTGGAGACGTAATATAGAATACCATGTCCAAAGGGAAAAGCTGTGGAGGTGAAAATTTAAGTAGGAACACAGCAGAGATGAAATTTGGCCAGGAGAATGTGAGTAAAAAAACCCAACTCAAGCAAAATACGTGTGTAGGCATAAGATATGCGCTACCATATCACTTTAAAAAATAACACTCAAATCTCTTTTCAAAACAATTGTTATGTAAACATACAGTCAAGTCAGGGGAAATTATTTTAACTAAAAATTGAAAGGACCATTAAGAGCAGCAGAAGTCACATAGTTTAATCTTGTAACATGGGGCACTATTTATATTACAGCGGGGTACAAAAAGCTATTTGCAATAAAATGTAATCCCCTCTGGAGAGAGAAACTTAAGAGTGGACAGAAAGCCAGAGCTTAAACTGGAGGAATAAACACACATTGGGGTTTTGTTATATTTTAGGATATTGTTTATTGAAGTAGAAGATGCTAAAATGTGGCCTGCAGGGACAGTGTGTGTTCACTGATGAGGTCTACGACTGCCTGCCGAAAACAAAGTCTAAAATATCTGGAGCAGGGAGTAAGTGCAGAGACCAGTGATTTTTATTAATGAAGTAATGCAGCTTTAGCCCCACAGTCCCTGGTGAGTTCTTAGCACAAGCAAGGCATCCAACTGCGTTCTGCTCTCTCGGACAAGAACAGCGGCGCCTCAACCCACTCCAGAAATCGGATATTTTTGTATCTAACAACATCTTACATTAGGTTATCTTTCACCCCAAACGATCCCAAAGTGCTTAACAAGCTACGCGCACAGAGGGATCATTTCACCAATGAAACGCAAATGCTTTTGGGGTGAAAGGATGGCAGCCGGGTACACAGATGGGCAAGAAGGCATTTTGGCCAAGAATATCTGGGGCCTACTCTTATGAATATTGCCCTGGTAATCTTTCATGTACAAACCCAGAGCAGAAAGGATCTCATACCTTACTGTCTTGTCTAACTGGCCACGTACAATTTAGGGGGACTTTATTGGCATAAAAAGCTATTCAAGTGTTACCAAAGAGGACATCCCTCAGCTGTCAGCCAGTGGTTGGAAAAATCCCGTTAGATCCGCACACTGTTTTGGGGGTTTGTCAACAGTTTGTCAGCAGTGTTCAATCCTAATGCAGTGACAGGTTCGTATATCGAGCAATATCTCCACCATCTCTCTTTTTCTCCCAGGCTAGGCACAGTTTTTCCTCATCACTTTATGAGACTAATGAGTCCTGATCATCTGAGGAAATCTCTCTCACTTCCTTGGATTTTGGAGAAGGAAGTGTTGGGTCTCAATGTCTCCTGTACTCTGGGTTGTACAGTCAATCCTCTCCAGCACATCACGCACAGTGAACAAACTGAGACAGGGTATTCAAACTTGAAGCTTAGACTACCAACCCATCCCCTACGGGCTATCAAGAGGAGACAGATGCAAAAAGGGTTTAATTTGTTTTGCTGCTTTAGTAAATGGAGCCATCAAATCCAGACAAAAACTAAGTGTTCAGATTTTACTTAAATATGGCCCTCAGTAATAATTTCTATACAAGTCAAAATGAATCAATCAAAAGAAAAATTGAAGTGGTTCCCAGAATCAGTTCATGGAAACACTATCTAGAATGAGGGAATCATATGGCATATGAATTCCTTTCAGTTCACGCCACTGTGATCAGATCCAGCTCCCCCCACAAACACACCACCAATCGCTACGAATCCCAGCTACAATTAACATTTTAATGAACATCTCATCGGTCAACAGATAAGCCCCTCACCGATGCTATACACATAGTCAAAAATGGACAGACTAGTAGGCTACTTTATACCATGCTCAGACATACTAATGGGGGAAACCCTTTCTTGAACAGCTAAATAACGCTCTAACTTCCCCCCTCTAGTCTGACTTTCAGGAGCAAGCGTATCAATTTACCCAAGGCTTTGGGGGATCCAGAAGCACAGGGGCTGATAGTATTTGTTGGGTAAAGGTGTTTCATGTCTGGTTAGCTATTTCTAGTTTGGAGTAAGTGCTAGTTCAATGTTTTTTATGTAACTGACTGGTGAGACTAGGATAGGGGTGTGTGGGTAGGTGTGTGGGGGTGTGGGGGTGTCAGTCAAATTGAAATATATAAATAAAAATGTAAGTTGCTATGAACCTATTCACTAGAAAAACCTGGTATATGAGGAAAGATTATACATTGTTACAACGACTATTCTAATCTGCACCTGCATTTGGATTAGACTGAAGAGAGGGTGAGCGGAAGAGTGGTTTGAGAGCTACTAATGAGAAATTAGATAGTTTCGAAGCTGAGCAAACTGCAGTATAGATCTCTCAACTCCTGAGAATATCTTCCTTTGTTGAGTTTAACTTAGGCCTCCAGATGGGTGCTTTGTGATTCTTCAATATGCATCAATCTGTAAAATTTACCTTTTAGATGTCATTTGCTCTCTCAGTTTGCTGTACATCTCCAGAACTGGGGAGAAAAGAAAAAACATACATACATTAAGACAAAATATATGAAATTAAATCTAGATGAAACTGTACCAGTAGCAATGATCAATTTCAGATTCCTCACCAGGAAGACACAATGTTAGTTTATCGACGGTAGCAGAAATATTTCTCTGTTGTAGTCGACATTGTTTCAGCTCTTCCATTGCTACTACCAACTTAAAGAGAAGAAAAGAAAATTAAATTATGCCAATAGTGGTAAACAAACAGCTTGTATGTATATGTCTCCATGATGTACCCATCTCTCACCAAGTTCCCAACAGTAGGTCTACAACAATGCCTGCTAAGAGAGTTAAGGAACTCATTATTCACTCATGGAGTAGGGAAGAATTTTGAACCCTCGGGAAGTTACTGAGCAAAGTTCTATGTCTGTGTAGTGCAGTAGGTTAGACTAGCTCATTGTGATCCCTTCTGGAAACAATCTATGAACTGTACTCCACTCCACATATGCAAAACAGTATGGTCCCCCTCCTTGCAAGAGGAAAGCAAGACTTTATGGATGCACAGGAGCCAGTAAATAGAGCTGTAAACAGGGGAGTTTGAGTGGGACTTCTATTAGCGGAGCAGGGAAGAGGCAAGCCCCTGGTTCGTAGGGGCAGTAAGTGAGGTTTTTCGTGGGTATGGTGTGTTTTTTCTGTTTTGTGCAAGTTTTTTTTCCTTGTTCAGTTTGTAGAGGCTGGTAGGGTGCAGTGTGCTGTGAGAGAAGCAGAGCCCTGATGAGGGGGTGGGGCTTCCCTGATGAGGGGGCCTATACAAGCAGTCAGCCAGTGGCAGAGGTGCAGCAGCACAGGAGCCAGCGAACACAGGTGTAAACAAACAAAGGAGTTTGAGTGGGAGTTTGAAAGGGGAGATGGGGGAAGGAGTGGGAGGGATGTTCTGGTTTTGATTTGGGGTTTGTTTGGGGTTCTTGGGGATTTCTGGTTTCCCTCTTTGGTTGGTTGGTTGATTTGTTTGTTTTATGGAAGTGGTTTGAGTTTGTTTTTCCCCTAAGGTTTGCCAGCTCTAATCTCTGTTAGAAGCATCAGTTCCATCCCCCTCAGCCAGAGGCAGATTATCTCTCCACACACTTTGCTAGTGGTTGTCAAATTTTAAATGGCCGAAGTATCACGGCCTCCACCACTTCCCTTGGAAGACTAGTCCTCACTCCAACAGGTCTTTTTCTTTTCCGTTCTACGTCGGTTCTTATACTGCATTCATCCATTGTCTATCTTAGCACCTTTTAGTAGTACATGAAGAAACGGAACTAACGTGCCCAAGGGGAGAAGTGTGTGCAGGGGAGTGTTTTGCTTCTTTTTTTTTTTAAACGCCCGTGCGCGCGCGCGCACACACACACACACACACACAGTTATACATTTATGTTAGAGTAGATGAGGGCAAAGAAATGCACCTTGCACTCAGCTCCTGAGGAAGTTCATTTCACAGTCTTGGGCTGACACCCAAGAGAAGCTCCGTCTCTCGCATAAAAGAGCTTTACCCTTATTGTGGTGAGTTCCATTGTGCCTAAAGAGCAGGGCTGTTGGCCATGGTCTTCCTCCCATAGGCAGAGCCTCTTTCTTTCCTATCAAGTCTGACTTTTCCTTTTCTTAATCCTAGCCCTTTATTCTGATAGCTATGCCTCCCTGGATCAGCCTAAATAATCTCCCCCATTCCTTGGTGTTTACCCCATTCAGACTCTTGTACACTGATGTCCTCTCGGCCATCAGGAAGTTATTACTTGGCTATCTCAATCTCTTCCAGAGCCAGTCCTAGGGATGTATGAACAGTGCACTCGCCAGCAGCACGCTGTTGGGGTCACCGTTTTTCAAAGCACTGACATTTACCACAGGGAACTGTCCAACATTGGCAGGAAGATGGAATAGGTCTTTTCCACCTCTGAAGCCCATAAACCAAAGTACTTACTTTGAAAGTACTGACAATAAAGTGAATTTCTTTGTGAACTAGGAAAATGGAAGAGGTGAGAAGAGCAGAAGATTTCTATGGGAATAAGGAGCAAGTGGTGAGAGTCCCTCCAGGAGGAGGAGAAGATGAGTTGCAGGAATAGGCGTTTCTAGACACTTCTCCTATATTATATATATGCACACAATTGGCACTGATCTTTCTTCATATATCAGTGCCTCTAGCTCACTAACCAACTGTGTTGCTATCCAACAATTTCCCTTCAATTTGTCAATATCCCTTTAGTTTTAAGATGTAGAAGACTGAATGCAGTTAAAGGGGAAATCACCCCCAAAACATATAGAGCTTCACTTGCTCCCTGGTTCGATGCCTCCACATATGCAGCTGAAGACCACGTTGACTTACCGCTGCTGTACTGCTCTGCAAACTGGGAGCCTGATCCTTCCGTGTTTATTGGCACTAGTAAGGGGTGAAGGATTGAGCCCACTGTTTGAAATGATAATGGACAAAGTCTTCATGCTTTCCAGGTTTCCCCGTCCATTCAGTTTTAACCCACAAATTACGGAAAGGGGTGGTCGCTTCATACACATCCCCATTACATCTAATGACAATTAGTTACAGGTATCACAAGTATTATACAGATTTAACACTATGGTCACACAAGTGATCAATAGTATTGCCCACACAGCTGTGGACTTCTGAAACAAGAAGTCTGTGCATTCTAACGGTATTATAATACATTAAAATATTCAAAGCTAATAGATCATATAAGGGAGGCTTTTAAAAATACAGGGCTTACTTCCTTCCCTTCACTCTGCAGTTTTCTATTCGTGTCTGTCACTTGATGCTGTGGGAGGAAAAGAAAAAAAACACATTTTAAAATTTACATGTAATCAAGAGGTATTTTGGTTGCTTGCACGAGAGCCTTTACTATGGATTTCACCAGCTTCCCTGCGATTCCTTACAATTTCCTTCTGCGCCCCCTAAAATAGATGTGGTTAATTTGGCTTTCTGTGGCATTCAATGGATTTTCTGACATAAGGAAAGATCTTAAGAGCAGCACAGGTGATATGAAGGTGGCCATACAAGAGTTTCTTGCCAGTTACTAGACACCAGTGGAAGACAGCAAGGGGTAACACGGCGAGATGCCACCTTTGAAAAGCTGTGCCCCATAGCACAATATTCTGCCATTGTTATTCATGTAAAGTTGTAACTCACTACTTGAATTCTATTCTATAGGAGTAAAGGAGGCATAATATGGTCCCTGAGTCAAGTGCATTTTTTGTCAGCAAGTGAATGGCTTCTTATAAACTGAGTATCAATTAGCTCACATGCTGTTTCATACGGCAGTTTATATGAACCGTTCGAAGTAGTTAACGTGGATTCATCCACTTCTCCCGTTCCCCGTCAATGTGGTACCTGTTCTTGAAACACTGATGTTCAATCCTGCAAAGTCTGGATCAACAGTTATAGTTATCAAGTTATATAAAGTTATATAGTTATAAAGGGCACTGGGCTTGCCCCTGTATAACCACAAAAATTAAGATAGTTCCTGTCCCAAAGACCTTCCAAACGAAGGGGTTTACATATTGTAACAGGGCTGGCTGCCTCACATGCATGCCTGTTTAGTACAGGGTCAAACTACAGGCAGCCTGCCTCAGTTTCCCGTCTTGGACTGTTCAAATAAATTTCATTTCAAGCTTTTTTGGGGTCAAAAATTACCCCTCACTGGGGACTGAGCTCATTAATATAAAATAAACCACAAATAAAATTCAAACCCCAAAACAAAGTCCATTCATAAGTCCACACAAAAAAAAGGTTTCTCTTCCTCCTCCCAGAACTTACTGCCTGGAGCCTTTGCCATCCTTCCCCGGCTTGGTCAGGTTTTCTCCCAGGCCTCTCTGCCATGGAGAGCCTCTCTCTTTCTCTCTGCAGACACTATCACAGCTTCCTGAGCTTCCCCCTTCATTGCAGCCACTTGCTGTCCTTTATAGGGAATTATCCAATTCACCCCAGGTGAACTGGATAATTCTGTCATCAGGGTTGGCTAGCCCAAGCTCTTCAGCCCTTAAGGGGCGAGCCACCCTGTTACACATTCTTTGGACAGGGAGGAAAAATTGACCAAAAAGAATTTTGGTAGAGTACACACATGAGTTTACACAGAATTGCACTGATCTACTGCTGTCCGCAAGCTTCCATTGGATTTCAACTTCTTGCTCAGCTCTCTCATCACTGAATTTTAAAAACTAATCCATAACTTAAAAAAATTACATGAATTTCTTGGATTTTATACAAAAGCAGCGAGAGCCAGGATCACAGCACCCTAAGCTACCACAGAGAACAAAAGAACACAATGGATTATGGAGATATACCTATCTCATAGAACTGGAAGGGACCCCGAAAGGTCATTGAGTCCAACCCCCTGCCTTCACTAGCAGGACCAAGTACTGATTTTTGCCCCAGATCCTTAAGTGGCCCCCTCAAGGATTGAGCTCAAAACCCTGGGTTTAGCAGGCCAGTGCTCAAACCACTGAGCTATCCCTCCCCCCTGTAGCAAGCAGCCCACCCTCATCACCTCTGTTTCCAGCAGAAGAGAAGTTGAGCTTATACCAGGGATGGGCAAACTTTCTGGCCTGAGGGCCACATCTGGCTATGGAAATTGTATGGCAGGCCATGAATGCTCACGAAACTGGGGGCTGGGGTGTGGCCAGAAATGAGGAGTTCAGGGTGTGGGAGGGGGATCCGGGCTGGGGCAAAGGGTTGGGATGCAGGGGGGTAAGGGCTCCGGCTGGGGGTGTGGGCTCTGGGGATGAGGGGTTGGGGGTGCAGGAGGGTGCTCTGGGCTGGGACTGAGGGCGGGAGGGGGATCAGGGCTGGGGCAGAGTGTTGGGAGTGCAAGAGGAGGTCGGGGTGCAGGCTCTGGGTGACGCTTAGCTCAAGCAGCTCTCAGAAGCAGCGGCATGTCCCCCCTCCGGCTCCTACACGGGGGCGCAACCAGGCGGCTCTGCACACTGCCCTGTCCGCAGGTGCCGCCCCTGCAGCTCCCATTGGCCGCGGTTCCTGGCCAATGGGAGCTGTGGGGGCAGTGCTTGGGGTGGGGGCAGCGTGCCGAGCCCCTTGGCTGCCCCTACGTGTAGGAGATTAAAATGTCTGGTGGGCCAGATGCGGCCCCCTAGGCCGTAGTTTGCCCACCCCTGACTTATACTCAACTCTTCACCCTGTCATGATTCCCTTATATGAAACCATTACTCACTACAAACTCTGATGTCTTGACCAATTGCTATGGCTGCCACAGCAAGGATCTGCTGCTGCAGCCATGCTGAGGAAAGAGCAGCAACGAAGATTTCTGAATGAATTAATATTAGTGAAACATGTCAGACTGACACCCTAGAAATGAGGTCCTCTGCTTATCCACTACAACATGAATGGCAGTGAAAATTTCCCCTATACTGCCCCACTATGTACCTCAAACGTGACCTGGAATACTCCAATTCTAGAGGTGGGAGGATCATTCAGTCTCCAAAAGCCATTCAATCCTTTACATCTCTCACAAGAACGCCGACCAGACAATTATGATGTTGTGTGGAGGATCTGTGATATAAAGAGGACCAAGACGCAACTCATTCCACAGTGGCTGCCGATTGGCCAACAGGTGGCAATGATTTTTGGCCACTTCCAACTTGGGTCAGATTTAAACTGGTGACCTAGCAGTGCAAGGTTTTAAACAGCCGCCCCAATACCAGTTGCCTGAACTGTCCAGCCCCCACGACTGCCAGACTTTTTTAACTGCTTGTGCTTGTTGCCATAAACTTATCGCATTGCAGACAAGAAGGATTCACCTCATGACTTAACTTTTTACAACTTCACCGGAGTGGTCGCATAGCAGCGCTCCCCCCACCTCCTGCAGGAGGTTCAGTTCTTCTGGCTGACTGCCCTACACAAAAACTGCTCATTTCCTTTATGATGTACTCAGCTATTTCAAGTAGGAGCATGGTATCTCCTCTGAAGATTAATTTATTTTCTTATACCCCGAAAAATCTTACTAGGAAAAAGAATTCACGTAGGCTAATTTAAACCTGCTCCAAAAAAGATGCCAAGTCTATACAAGTCTCCTATTAAAATTACATCTCAATCCCAGCTAAAGCAAAAACGAACAGGAATCTGTTCCGCCCTTGTACATTTTCTGTTTTTTAGAGTCACAGACACACACAGAAAAACAGATGATTATTTACATAGGAGTTCCATAGACACACACAGAGCTTTTCAGACAAAGAGATTTGGAGATTTTATAATCTAAGACAGACAAGCACAGCAAGGGGTAACAAACAGCAGGTGGGGACATGGGAAGGATGAGGATATGGTAGTGAAGGATCATGAGAGGGGCTTACTTAGTTCATTCTTCTCTATATGGAACATGTGGTACCAAGCATTTGTTTAAATTAATTATAACATAGGGACAATCAGACGGAGGGCAGGAGAAGAGCAATGAGAGGGCAACTGAAAGGAGTTATGAGCAGGAATATGAAGGAGAAGAGAGTGCAGTACATGGTACCGAGGACATTCAGGGAACAATATTTTACAAGCCAAATAAGCAAAAGGTTATTTAAAAAAAGTAAAACTAGGAGAGATTAAATGTAAAAAAGTGAACTAGTGCAACCTTAAGGCTGCACAGTTATAATCAAAGAGTAAGCAGAAGTTTAAATGTTGCCATGATTAGAAATTTGTCCAGGTAAAAGTGACGCCTTTTTGAAGATCTGTTCCTGTGACTATTTAGTTACATCTGGGTTACTTTTCTGGCAAAATGTAAGTTGCTACTACTGTTAGTACAGCAGAGCCTATACAGCTAAGGTAGGGAGACCATAACGAACCAGTGTCCCAGTGGAGAGCTGCATTGTTGGGAGATATCTTCTGGATGAGTCGTAAAAATAATAAGAGTTCCTGGCTATGTGTCAGCCTTAAATAAGCACACAGTATTGCCTGAAAAAGTTAGAGAACTTAACCCTGATGTTCTGATGCAAATTTCAACTTGAATTCTGACACCTAAAATGGACAGAGCAGTCTTCTTCACTTTGTATTGGAAACAGTTAGTGTTGTGCCATGTTTCACCCCAGTGGCCTGCGGGGGGATGGGGTTGAGTCCTGCTATTTAGAGTGTAAATATAAGATTACACAAGACTCCAGAAACTTTAAAAAAAGCATATATAAATGATAAATGCTGTAGGTGAAATACTGAAGATGTAGATTTAATGCATATGCTATAGAACTATGCAAGACTAAAACTATTGAGGAAAAAACCAAAAACAAATACTGTAGAGAATGAATAGTTGGAACACAATGAACACGCTCCACTGGATCCATGGCTGGGTCTCCAGGGAAACCCTCATGAGAAGGATTCCACTACTTTTCACAAACAGATTGCTGCATATTCTTCTCTTGGGCCATTTTATAAATCAGATAGCTGTGTAAATCGAGGGATCCCTAAGGGCACATGAATGGACTTCACAGTGTGCCACCAATAAAGAAGTGATTTGTAGATTGAGAAACCACAACAAGTCTTTTCAAAGAATGTCGTATTCTTGGCTAGAAACAATGGTATAAGAGTAGGCTGTTCCTTTCATATGTTCTTTGGCCTTAATCCTGCAATCGGCGTTGCCTGTCGATGGGCCTCCGGGTGAGAGCGGGAGTTTCCCTGCATGCATAGTGGGCCTGTATGAGTAAAACCTGAAGTCCTGCTAGGATATGCCTTACACATGCACTGCGATAAAGAAACGTACGGTTACTTTTAAAACCTCAGCATATTAGAAGATGAAACTTTTCTTCACTCTCCAAAGAATTTTTCTGGGAAATTTTTAGTATTCTCCCCTGACACATCTTCTGCACTTAGACTTCCATACAATCACCCAAAGGTCCCACGTCAGGCTGCCCCATCCTTCCAAGTGAGAAAGGCTAGCTGTGTTACACTCCGGAGACAATCAAGGTGTCTTTGGGGGTGGGGGGTGTCATTGTCACTAAAGAGCCAGCAATTCACTGTTCTTGGATGGTTTCTGTCAAACTATCGGTGACTCCTTGCTGTTGAAACCTGTAACGAAACTAGGCCTCGAGAATACACACCTCCACATCAATCATGCCCTACACCACCCTCAAGAAAATACCACAAGAAAATAGGCAGCTTCCCCAATTCCAGAAACTCAGAAGAGGGAGGGTTTGTTCTGATGTTACATTTTTAGAACTGACAAAATTGTTCATTCTCCACATTTTAGGTTACAGTGTCTGAGAGAAAGTTCCGAGGTCACCTGTTACTCCACCTGCCCTATACCTAGAACAGACTCCATCATCATCTGGGTTCTCTCTTTCCCCTCAGAGCTCATCCCTAGTTTGCTTGCCACTGCTGATCTGCACTTAAAGCTTATTTCACTGAGGTATACTGGCAAAAGTGCAGGCTTTTGCTGGTATAAGGTGTGTCTATACTAGAAGCGTTTGCTAGTATAGCTATAGTGGTGTAAATGACCAGCAAAGCTTTTCTAGTTTAGACAAGGCCTTGGTCCTTCTGACGTTTCTCACAATCCTCCATGTTTCCACTAGCCAAAATAATTTAGTATCATTGTCAAACTTCAACTCACAGCCTAGCTCAAATGAGAGCAGAGTTACAGGGTATGGCTAAGCTGTACTGAGGGGGCAGGGAGCGACTGCAAAACATGAAGGCATAACCGAGCTAGATTTAATCTAACCAGCTAGGGTATCAATAGCAATGAAGCCACAGCAGCACACAGTGTATGCATATAACCCATGCAACCCAGGTTATATACTCAAGGGGCCAGACTGCACTGAAGTCCATGCTGTCGTAGACTCACCACTACTAGTATCAAAGCTAGCTCGCGTATGTCTACATGTGCTGCAATCACACTTCCAACTGCAATGTAGACGTACCCAGAGTGACCACACTGCAAAACACTCGAACTACACAGAGTGAATGAATTAGCAGCTGATCAGCTGTAACATGAGCTACTGCATCCCCAACTGCATTACCAGCTTGAAGCTTCAACCCATCCCTCCTGATGGACCAGCTAGCTCAAGCTTAAATCACCCCTTAACTCAAGCTAGATTTCTGTGGGGGACGGGACGGGAGTCATATTAGGAGCAAAACTCAGGCTACACCTCAAGCTAACAGTGCAGTGAAGACAAGCCCTAAGTCAGTAATGAAAATATTTCACTGTGCCACAATATTACCCTTTGATAACAGAGATATGTCTTTGCTAAATTTCTCTCTTACCTTAAGCTTCTGGGCTTCTCCCCTAACTTTCAGGAGCTCCGTGATAGAATCTACAAAGCCCTGGTAATGGAAGTTGCACATTTTCTCAATCTCTCGGTCATGGTTTCGAATTCTGGCTTCCAGCTTTTCCATGAAACGACCATGCTCTTCGCCATCATAGACAGACCTAAGAAAGAGTTTCCACAGAGGTTAGAATTGCGTCACCTGTTTATATAATTACTTAGAATAAATTCACAAAATGCTAGTCGTTAAACCATAACCAATAGCCTATGGACCAAGTTGGGTGGGGTGGGGTGGGTGGGGGGCATGTAAAGTGGCACTTTACTTCTGGTTTTAACTCGTGTTTAAGAATATTCTTGTCTCACACTCATGTTTTCCTCTTTTCCATTCAACAAACATTTGCTTTCATTCCTGTTTCTCTCTCAGACCACAGTGTGTCTATTCAGAGCACTGGTAACTGGACACAGAACCTTCCACCTCTATTTAGGTCAGCAGTTCAAATCCAGCTAAGCCAGGAGAGACCAAAACGGGCTGCGATTGGACGGGTGATTGGTGGCCTTTATGAAGTGACTCTCTGGGCTTCAGATCAGCTCCCAGAGGACAAGTCACATGAGAAAAGCACAGTCTCTGCTGACACAAATTGCCCCCTTGTTACCACGGTCAGCAGAGCTGCTGGAATAAGTGGGACATGGGACTGAACTCCCCACCTCACCTCCCAAGTGGTCCTTCATTGTCAGAGGTAATGAACAAAGGCAGGAAGGCCTGGGGGGAAGCTTGCATTCATCTTCCATGCTGGGGACAAATAGGTAATCTCGAATGGGGTCAATCCAATAACATCCATACGCATTAAATTCACACACACGGAAGTCATTCAACAGGACTTCTTGGGTTCCCATATTTATTCAAACAGAGAACTCCCATATAAGATTTGATTACTCCCTGCATGGAAAGCTCAGTTTGACACCTAAAAACAAACAAAATCAAACAATGTTCTTTTTGCTCCATACATCAGAGACAGAAAACACTGTAACAGCATCATCACCGACAATTCTGTGAGGCAGACTAGATTATATACAACTCATCCATCAGCAGATGGATTGCCTCTGTAAGCCTAACAAACTTGGTCTGGGCAACAAACTAAGCAGATGTTATTCCAGAAAGATAAGAGTGATGTAAAGTATGAAAGGTACTTTTTTTCTGATCATAAGCACATTAAAACTTTTCCGCTCATGCTAGAAAATTAAATACAAGCTTACAATCCACAGGATATCCCGAAGACTGTGACAATTTTAAGACATCTAATTCTGAATTTAGCCTTCTTGACTGACTCGCTGATTCTCCTGCAAACCTCGAAGTTTACAGCAAGTGTGTTAAAAAGTGATGTTATGTAATTTCAGAGACCGATTATCTTAATTCACTACTGCTGTCCAGTGATTTGAAAGGTTGGGGATGAAAAGAAACTACAGAAATACAAAAAAAAAAAAAACCCAACAGATGTATCAAAGTAACCCTTTAGAGGAGGCGGTCAACTAGGTGGCTTCTAGTGAACATTTTAAGTAATGCTGGGGGAGAAAAGTACCTAAGTGATTTAGGAACAGGTCTGGCTTTTGGTGGCGTTTGTGCTCCTAAATCACTTGAACATTTCACTTTCTGAACCCAAGATAGCATCCCTCTGTCTACAGTAAAAATCAAAATGGGACTAAGCGCTGAGGAAGAAAATGTTGAATAATTATCCTTATGACATGCGTCTGACGAAGTGGGTATTCACCCACGAAAGCTTATGCTCCAATACATCTGTTAGTCTTAAAGGTGCCACAGGACTCTCTGTCCTTATGATGTATTCTTACAACTTGAGTTATGCACTTTCAATCCCCCATTCTCAGAAGAGTCGTAATAGGGCGGAAACCCTGCATATTTAGGGTCTTTACTTATTCTGCACTGATTGCAAAAGAAAGCTTTTAAATAAGTCCAATTCTACGCACATTTCATGGTTATTGACAAAAAGCAGAGTAAAAAGGCATGCAATTCTTTGAAGTTCACAACACAGCCTTCTTCAGTGCTATCCAGTTTCTGCCTTTGGAATAAGCATCTGAAGAGACAGCGACCTGACATTCACGAAAGCTAGGATGTTGCCACAGTATTGATTATGGTAGTTTTTATTGCACTGTAATCAGGTAGAAGAGTTTTGCCAAGAAATGACTATTTAGAACTTAGAGAGAGACTGCCATCTAGTGATGGTCTATTTATTTGCAATGCTCTTTATGTATATCCTAAATCAACACTGCACATCCTTTCTAATTACCTGCATCTTAGCTACAATCCAAAAATGCAAATATAATAGCATACGTATTATTCAGCTATATAACTCCTTGGTGGATGGCACTATAAATTTAAAAGAAAATGGAAACACTAATTGAAAAAGTTCCAAGCTGACATAATGCAGTTCCACCAAGGGAAAAATACTGTTTTGCATTTATATAACACCTATTATCCAAGAGTCTCAATATGATATATGAACATTAAGCAAGCCTCACATCTCCCTAATTTTACAGATGGCAAAACAGATACAGACGTCCAGTGACTTATTCAAGGCCAAAGAATGAGTCAGTGACAGGAAGCAACAAATCCTAGAAGTCCTAGATATCAATCATCAGCTTAAACTTAACACAGCTAAAGCCAAATCCCTTGTCTTCCCTTCCAAACTCTCCCCTTTATCCATCACTGTCTACACCACCACCATGCTCTCTGTCACAATGGCCCATAAGACAGGCATCTTCTTCAACAACACTTGGATCTCCAAGACCCAAACACGCAGGCCACATCCAAACCTTGCAGTTTCTTTCTCCATAGCATCTCGAAATTCGCGCCAGACTGACACCACACACGTTTGTAGACCAAAGTCCTGGCCCTACAAATGAACTCATTGTAGGCAGACTACCGTGCCTGTGTGGTGACCCACTGACTTCAACAGGACTCCATATGGGTGAAGGGACCCATATGGGCTCACTGCAGGATCGGGGCTCAAATTTTATTTAGGATCTTAAAAATCAAGACTTCTTGAATAAAGGAAAAAGCTTCTTTTTCCAGCGACAGCCTTTTAAACCAATGAGGGCCATTTTATTTCATTCTGCCAATACATCTGCCCCATTTTAATTGATGAGTCCCTAACCTATCGCCATCATATTATTTTGAATACCTGCAGCCGCTTCTAGGTTTTAACAACAAAGAACCGTTATGATCATCTAGTTTGACCTCTTGCTTACGCAGGCTATAGAACCTCACCCAGTAATGAATGCATCAAGCCCATAACTAGAGCATACCTTTTAGAAACACGTCGAAGTCTTAACTTCATATCCTCTAAACTCACTGCTGGCATATTTGCCTAGCGACCGCCAATTCTGACTCAATGCCAGTTCCAACACTCAGCTGTTCTTCTCAATTAAATGCTCCCATTAACTCAATCTTGCCATTTAAAATGACTGCAAATGATGAAAGACAAGATGGGGGAGGTAATATCTTTTACTGGACCAATTTCTGTTGGGGAGAGAGACTTGTAGAAGAGCTCTGTGGAGCCTGAAATCTTGTCTCTCTCACCAACAGAAGTTGGTCCAGTAAAAGATATTACCTCATTCACCCTGTCTCTCTAATATCCTGGGACCAACACGGCTACAACAGTGCAAATTCTTAGGTATTTTGGCCACACTACACTCTGCTGTTCGATCACCTTTCTCCCCCTACTATTTGCATTACTCCTGCATACTCTGACTTACTCTCTTACTTGCCTACTTCTGCCTGTAGGCATCCATCACCTAGTCTACATCCATTTTATCCAATTATTCCTCTTGCCCTCACTTCTAACCCTCTCTGGGACTCTATCCCATTTGCATCCAGGCTGAACCCTTGTAAAGCCCTTGGAAATGTTCCGACAGAAGTTTTCTAAAAGTGTTCCTTCTTATGTCTGCCCATTGGAGTTTTTGTTTACTGAGCACATAAAAAAAGCAACTTAAAAACAAAAAATTCAAGACTCAACACGACCTTGGATTGTGTTACTGTGTTTCATAATGCCCATGTTCATTAAACAAGCTTTGGTTTTGCAAAGGTCAACTGGAAAAAGCTTTCCAGGAAAGTTATAAAAGGCAAATGTAGTACCAGAGGCATAGCAGTTTCTGTCTGACAGTCTTGTTTTTAACAAAGTTTATCCCATACAGCGAGGCAGCCAAACTTCACCCATCTGAGGCCCATACTGTCAATCATCAGGGCCCTCAGGGCCCCATCCAAGTGGCATGAATTGGAGCACTATGAAGCCACCTTTATCTTTAACATGGTGGTGAGGATCTTTGCGACAGGCCTACACTGCACTGCTCCATCCTGATCCACTGCGCCTTGTTGTCTCTAAGCCACATCCTCATTCGAAAACCTGGATGACTACGGTCTGCATGCGGCCCTTGGGATTCATTTTGACCACTCCTTGCCATACATCTTGGTAACTCATTAAAATGCATTTAGGCACAGGCTGGGAGGATGGATTGGGGGGGGGGGGTTGTGGCTACCGCACAAGACAAGCCTGGAAAATAGGAGTCGAGGGTTCTGTTCCAAGCTCTGCCACAGGCTTCCCGCATGGCCGAGCTAGTCACTGAGGGAAAGGGCATAGAAAAGCTGTGTGTAAAATAGGGATAATGCTTCCCAATTTTACAGGGGGGCTTTGAGAGTTCATTCGTTAATATTTGCAAAGGTCTTTGAGATCCCCAGATGGAAAGTGCTATGGAAGTTCAAAGACGACTTATGCAAGCACAGCAGAATACTAATGCAACACTACAAGAAACGCTTCCCAAGCAAGGATTCAGCCTGAGTAGGAACTTCTATAGTTTGATCTGCATCCTGAAAAGAGTGGGTCCAATAAACGTGGTTACCAGCACTCTAATCTGTTTCAAATAACGACAGATTAAGAGCCTGACCCTGCAACCTTTACTCCAAATGGGAGTTTTGCCTGCTTTATGACTGCAGGATTGGATCTCCAATAGAAAAAAAATAAATTGAACAAATTACAAGAGGAGGAGGAGGAATGGGGGGGGGAGGAAGAAAAAATCTCCAAAAAAATTCCGGGGAAAAAAATAAAAAAAAAAAAAAGAATCTGGAACAGTACAAGGACATTCTGGGGACAATGAA